GGAATTTTGTCATCGTTATTGATCATTGGAGCCAATATGAACAAACAAACAAACAAACAAAAAAGAATAAAAGAAAATAAAATAATTAAACCCTTTAAAATAATATTTTGCGTATTACAACGTTGGCAAAGAAATACATATGTATATATAATATCCTATATTTTGCTTGGAAAATGAAATTTTTAAACGGTAATACGTAACGTATTATAGTACTACATCGGTGTATTATTTTGTTTTTTGTAATAAGTAATACTTGGATAAAGAAGTAACAAAAGAAAAACACTAATAAAAACAGATACAAAAAACAACAGCTTTATGGATGTTTCGTAAAAACATTATTCTCGGATATGATTAATTTTCTATATATTTCCAACTAATATCCGTTCCGTAATATTACTTTTTCCCTTTTATTTTCTTCCTCAACCCCCATCACATCCTTCCACCACCACCACAACCATTACCATTCTCTTCCTATTTAAATTCTATTCTTTTCATTTCGTTTTATTTTATATATATATTATTAAATTTAGTTACGAGAGTATAATACTAAATAAAACGATTGGTTATAAAAACAAATGATACTTTAATAATTACAATCGATTCTGTAAACTAATTAACGTTTGTTTATGTCGGTTGTATCTGTTAAAACCATCAGGTGTCGTACCATCACTTCACCATACGAAGGTCAATTTGTTCCACCCCGTAAAGCTGTGTAAGCGTGCAGCTACAAACTATACACACCTGCATAGGAAAACAAAGACAGTCATAGAAAGAGAGAGAGAGAGAGAGAGAGAGAGAGAATGGGGACAGAGGGTTAGGGGGTTGAAGAGAAAGGGGAAAAGACCATTGATAGATATATCTATAGTTAGGTGAACGAATACTCAGAGAGAGAGAGAGAGAGAGAGAGAGAGAGAGAGAACTCTCAGTTTAAAGGAGTGTATTGGTGGTTAGTACCAAACCATCCCCTATCCTTCCTTCCCTCTATCCATCCCTTCCAACCCCTGTCCCCTCATCTTCTCCATTCTACACCGTATCCAATTAAATGTCCAACGTTGTCAAACGACCGATTTCTCCATGACATAGTTTCTCTTCATTTCGTAGCTACGATGTTCTAATTAATACTCGAAAGCCGAACTTTCAATTGACAAAACAGAATCAGCATATCGTTTTCCAACCCTCACCTTTGCCTTCTCCTTCTTTTCTGGTTTTGATCCCACTCTCTCATCATATCATAACGTAGGATGTTTGTTATCTCGTATTAAATTATATATAGGGTGTATATGTATACAATATTGTAATATAATTATTGTGTAATAAATATATACATGTCTTATATATAATATTAATTTAACATATTAACTAAATAATAAATTAATATATTGGCAAAGGCAAATATATATATATATATATATATATATAAGACAATTTAATTAGAGATTAGATATAGATATAGGTTTGTAGAATTGTAACAAGCTATCTGACCTTTTGCTTGAAATTACTAATCAATGTATAACCACATAAAGCATTTTATCTTATAGTAGTATAGTTTAAATGTCCTTAAGGAACAGTTCTATTGAATTATATCTTATAGCATTACTCGTAAAGATTTACCTTAATTACGAATTAATACATTTGATATTAAATCTAAAACCTTGTACTAATCAGTGGAGATAAATGTTTTCTTAAAGATCAACATTTATAATTATATAAATTACATTAATATTATTACTAAATAATTAGTAAAGAAGACAAAAATAAATGAATATTATACATATATTTGAAAGTAGATCATAAAAAATAATTTGTTAAATTAGTATAATAGGTATTGTAAAAACTATCAAATATTGTAATAATGATAAAGAAAATATCTAATAATAATAATAATAAAATTTAAATTTATTCATATTATATTAATATTATAGAATTATTTGGAAAATAATTGGGGTATCCAATGGGGGAACGTAATCTAAATGATTATCTTATAAAACTAACGTGGAAACTCAAAGTAGAAATATAAAAGGGAGGGACCCTTTGACAATATCACGAACGACGAGGATCCAGACTATCCTCCAATTACATTCACGTAAAATATCGCATCCAACCTTTTCTCTCGTGTTCATTTCACCGTGAATTTCAAGCTATTCCTATTCCTGTTTCAGCTTGAAATTCGACGCGAAATATGTCTGGAATCTTCAAAGAGAAAAAATCATCAACAAATTTTCTTCCCTTTGTTTCTTTCTCTTTTTGGTCTTTTTTGTTGTTGTAATAAATTAAAAAGGAATCAACGTTCAAGTTGACACCTTGAAGATTAAAAAAAAAAAGTTAACATAACATTTAAAAAATAATTAACATTCAGTGGATAATTGTGTATTATTAAAATGTTTTTACATAAAATATATTTTTAATAGAACGCGAAATATTGAATTTTATATATTTAAATATTATTTTATATATATATATATTGTCGAAGCAGAAAAAAAATGTCAAAGTGCATTAAAAAGGCAGAGGGAAAAAATCTCTTAAAAAATAATAATTATTGTTTGACAAGTCCGTTTAACGTGTGTGTGCGTTGCAGGTGTGTGTGTGTGTGTGTTTCTGTTCGAACAAAGTGCAAAGCAAAAATAAATAAAAAAAAAAAAATTAAAAAAAGGAAATACAAAATAATAATTATTATTTTCACGTATAGGGTGTAGAAAATTGTTCTCTCCTTGTTTATCTTTTCTAAATAAAATATTGGAAGAATTTCAATTAAAGAAAAGGTGTTTGCGATAATCATCATCATTTACAGGGAAGAAAACAATCACGGTTAGGACAATACGACATTCGTTAATTGAAATAGAAAGGCCCATACTTTTCGAACGTAAGCCATTTTCTTCGAGATAATAAAATTAAATGGGGGGAAAAAAGAAAAGAAAAAAACAAAAAAATATAACTAAAGGTTTTTGTGTGAGGAAACATAGAGACATTTTAAAAAACATTTTCTATAAAATTAAATAAATAATAATAATACTTAATTAAACGAATCAGTAGATACAATGAAACATATCATAATTACTATTATTGTATTATATTATATTTTAAATATAAATATATATGTAAAATATACTAAAAAAATAATATAATAATAAATAAAATATAAATTAAATATATTCAATTTGTTGATCATAATTTGATTTTTCTGTTGATTATTGAAGAACAAAATTAATAATATAAATAGTATAGTTTATTAGTTAGATTTTCTTTGGTAAAAGCCCTTTTCAGTGAAGTAGCAAACCGCGCATACTCTCACAATTACACAATCACACACACACACACACACACACATATATATATATATATATATATATATATATATATACATTTTGAGAGATTCGCATTTCCCTTTGACTTCATCGTTGCTATGGAAATTGGATGTCAGTTAGGATGTAGGTATGTACTATACGTAGTAACTTTCCCTTTATACCACATACACTCCTGGTTCCATAAGGTTTTCTCATAGAATTCGTTTCGCTGATTGATTATTTATTTCATTTTACTTCTTTTCTTTTCTTTTCTTTTATTTTTTCTTACATACTTATTTATTAGGCTGCTTACTGTATTGGATAATTAATTAATTTGAATTTACAATAAAATGAGAAATTATGTGTTCGATTAATTCAACGATTTAAAAAGATCAAAGATGAAATTCATTCAAATGTTGAATTATTTCTTTTTACACGATTTTACACGAGAAAAAATTAACCAAAAAAATATTTATGGATTAATATCAAAAAAATATTCACAGATTAACGTTGCAAGTTAATCTTAATTACTACTACTACTACTACTACTACTACCAATTACTTTTAAAAAAAAATGAACAAAAAAAGTGAATAGTTGAGGTTTGAATATACGTTGAAAGGGAACGAAGAGTAGGAAGAGGAGGAGTAGAAGGTGGAAAAGAAGGTGAGGGGTAAAAACGAGAAGGTGAGAGACGCAATTACGGCTTTTCGTCGTGGCTAACGAGTTTCGTGATTAAAGCGTAGCTTTAAAACGAGACACCTGTCAAGAGCAACGATTTTCCGACGTTCCGCGACGATTTTGATACGCCATGCGGCCACCTCTCTTCTTCCTTCCACCCTTACCCCCTCCCTATACAACATTTTGCAAATATGAATATGAAAAAAAAAAGAAAAAAATTTTTTTTAAAAATTAGAATACAAATGGGAGTAAAAAAAATATATATATATATATAATTATATATCTAATAAAAATAATTAATATTTATTTTTAATATATTATAATATAATAAATATGTTAATTTTACTTATTATAATAATAATACACATTATAATAAAATTAGAAACTAAATAATATAAAATAAATAATAATTAATTTCATTTAATAATATATTAGATTTTAGAATTTCTGTTTTGTTGTTTGTTGTTTCTCTCTATACATTCATTTTTTGTAAATATTAATTTATTTGATTGGATTATTTTTTATTGTAGTTGTTTTTTTCTTCGTTTTGGTAAAAAGTTTTTCGATGTATACGTGAGTAATACAAGGATATAAATCTTCTCACTAGGACATGCCACGATTTTTCCGTTCGTTTTCATAATGCCCTTGGGTATAAAAAGAAAAGGGAAAGGACGATGTACTATTGGATAAATTACGACTATAGAAAAAAAAGAAAGAAAACTGCAAGAACGTTTCACCGTCACTAAGCGCTTTTTCTACCGTTCGGTTTTTCTTCTTTTTTATTACTCTCTACCTTTTTATTTTTTTACCCTAACCTTTCCAAAAGAGTTTCGAGAAGAAAAAAACGATGGGCGAGGGAGAGGGGGTTTGATAGAAACAAAGGTAGAATATAAAACAGCTGCTTTCATTTAAACTTTCCATAGAATATCATAAGAGATAACAAGTGTAGAAAAATGATTAATTAAAAATACAAATTATGTAATTTTAATTTTTAATTAAAACGTTTGTGTGTGTGTGTGTGTTTTATTTGTTTGTTGCAGAAATGAAATAAGATAATGGAGTCAGCCATTTTGGATCTAATCGAGTATTATTTTGATTAAGGAAAATTTTGGCTATAATAGTAGGTTTTGTTTTTATTTGAAGAACCTTATTAAAAAAGAAGATATATATATATATAATTAATTTTATTGTTAAGATCTCATTAGATGTTCAGTTACAATTAACCTAATTATTTGAAGCCCGATAAAAAAAGAAAAATGTCTTTTTCTTTAATCATATTACAAATTGATCAAAGAGTAAAAAGTTTCTAAGAAAATGACTGTGTTTTTCTTCAAACTTCGACTACTTACTTCCAATAGTAATTTAAAAAAGTTTCTCAGTTTAAATATTACCCAAGGAATTCTCTTCTGGTGTAATAAGTGAATGAAGAAGAAGAAGAAGAAGAAGAAGACAAGTAAATTAGAAATTCAGTTTAATTGTAGATAAGAAATTCTTGATTCAGAAGATCGATCAATCGATCAATTTCTCGTATTAAAGTAGAAAAAGAAGAAGAAAAAAATCGAATTAACATCGAATCAGCAATCTCTTTTCCGAGCCGGCCATATTGAATTTCCTTTCGATTGGTAAAAGCAAAAGATAACGTTCTTTGGGTTAGTTTAATGTCCTTTTCCTGAATTGTGGTAAAGTGCTAGTAATAATCGTTCAAAATAAAAAGAAAAAGAAAAGAAAAGAAAAAGAATACGCCGTCGGTTAAGGCCACCGTCGGCGAATCGACAACATGGCCGATCACGAAAGAATCAGATTGGTTGTATTAGGTGGCGCTGCTGTTGGTAAAAGCGCCATTATACGACGTTTATTAGGACAAGGTTTTACTGAACGATATAGGCCAACTGTTGAAGATTTATATTCCAGAGAATGTGTTCTTGGAAATCTCACACTTAAAGTTGATCTTCTCGATACTACTGGTGAGTAGAAATGAAAGAAACTATTTGACATTTATTATAAGTGTTGCACGGTGATCATAAAACATATGTGCATAACTAATTATAAAATTAAAATTAGTAAATTTTAATTATTATTTTTAAAAACATTACGCCTGTAGAGATGCAACCCTCCAGACACACCCGAAAGATAGGCAACCCGTAATACACGCGTGTATAAACAGTTTGGACTGAAAAAAAATTCCGTTCCAACAGATGGCGCACGCAAGCAGCATTTTCAAAGTGTGTCTAAAGGGTTGCATTCCTACAGGCGCGCATTTTTATTATTATTAAATAAATAATTTAAAAAAAGGAAAAATAATATTATAATAATATTAAATAATAAATTATCTTACTTCTGATACTACACATTCGTCTCATTCTCTCGAAACTTGCTTTTAACTTGTGCGATTTGCACACATGTTTTTCTCTTTCAACGCATAGCACATTTACAAAAAAAATATACGGAGTGAATTTTTATTTATTTGAAATTTAAAATAATTAAATAATTTATTCCAAAACATATGTTAATAATACACGCGTTTCTTTCCAAGAATATTTGCCATTTTCCAGAATAAATATTAATGAATATTAATTAATAAATGTATATTTCCATAAAATTATTAAATCGTTCATTTGAAGCATGAATTAATACATCTGAAAAGAGTTTTATGTGTTTTGCACGAATAAACATTACTTTAAAAGTTACCTCAATTATTTATACCAAAAAATGAATGAATTATTAATCTTGAATACAATAGAAGAGATTTCCTTGTCGACAATGGAAATATATTTTCATGATTTCTAGGGGATTTGCAATTTCCAGCTATGAGAAGATTGAGTATAGCCACAGCTCATGCTTTTCTTCTCGTTTATGCTATTACTTCATCACCCAGTTTCGAATGTGTAAAACGATGTTTCGAGGAAGTTAGAGAACAACGTACAGATTTTCAGGTATTACAATAATTTCATACTAAAATGTATTTCAAATGCTTTATGTGTATATCCGTGTATGTGTATCTAAAGATAACAATATAACAAACTATTAAAATCTAATTTAATTATACTGTATTAATTAAACACATTCGCGGTCGGTACATTTTTTCCTTTTTTTAATACTGAGTACCAGGCAAAAGTAATTATTTATTTAAATTGTTACTTAAATAATAAAATATAATTATATAAATATTATATTGAAATAATGCAATATAAATTTAATATATAGGAAGTACCAATAGTGGTTGCTGGTAATAAATATGATTTAGCTGAAACACGAAGAGAAGTACCAATAGAAGATGTCAGCGAATGGTTATTCTGTGAATTACCAAAACTTCGAGCCAAAGTTATGGAATGTTCTGCCAAAGATGGTTACAATATCAAAGATATATTTAGGTGTTTCGTTACACTTTCTAGAATCGTACCAAAAAATCCAACCGGAGAATCTGACGAGTCAGGATTGAGAAGAAGATGTTCAGCTTATGGTTCACGAAGGTATACCATCATCAATTATTATTTTTATTTATAAACAATACAACGTTTTGTTACAACACC